CCCAAAAAAAAAAGAAAAATTTCCCCCAAAAAAAAAAAACTTTTCCAAACATCATTCAAAACTTTTACCACACTCGCACATTAAACACTGTTTTTTCAGAGGTGCCAAAACAACAGTCTAGAAGCATACACATATAAAGATACACAACATATCCCTCCAAACTGCCAATATCCCAAACCCCTCCTTTAAAGTGCAGGCATTGTACTTCCCATTTCCAGGACTCAAGTCCGACTATATGAAAATAACCGGTTTCCCTGAATCCCTTCACTAAATATTACCCTGCTCACACTCCAACAGATCGTCAGGTCCCAAGTACCATTCGTCTCCATTCACTCCTATCTAACACGCTCACGCACGCTTGTGTGTGTGTATATACATATATATGCTTGTACATGTATGTGTAGTGTGACCTACGTGTAAATAGCAGCAGCAAGACGTACCTGAAATCTTGCATGTTTATGAGACAGAAAAAAGACACCAGCAATCCTACCATCATGTAAGGTACCTACATCTTTTAGGAGTGAAGAAGAACAGGATGTGAGTGTGGGGGAGGTGCGTGAGGCATTAGGTAGAATGAAAGGGGGTAAAGCAGCTGGAACTGATGAGATCATGACAGAAATGTTAAAAGCAGGGGAGATGTAGTGTTGGAGTGTTTTGTAATTTTGTTTAATAAATGTATGAAAGAGGGGAAGGTACCTAGGGATTGGCAGAGAGCATGTATAGTCCCTTTATATAAAGGGAAGGGGGACAAAAGAGATTGTAAAAATTATAGAGGAATAAGTTTACTGAGTATACCAGGTAAAGTGTATGGTAGGGTTATAATTGAAAGAATTAAAGGTAAGACAGAATGTAGGATTGCAGATAAGTAAGGAGGCTTCAGAGTGGATAGGGGATGTGTAGACCAAGTGTTTACATTGAAGCATATATGTGAACAGTATTTAGATAAAGGTAGGGAAGTTTTTATTGCATTTATGGATTTAGAAAAGGCATATGATAGAGTGGATAGGGGAGCAATGTGGCAGATGTTGCAAGTATATGGAATAGGTATTAGTAAATGCTGTAGATAGCTATTATGAGGATAGTGAGGCTCAGGTTAGGGTGTGTAGAAGAGAGGGAGACTACTTCCCGGTAAAAGTAGGTCTTAGACAGGGATGTGTAATGTCACCATGGTTGTTTAATATATTTATAGATGGGGTTGTAAAAGAAGTAACTGCTAGGGTGTTCGGGAGAGGGGTGGGATTAAATTATGGGGATTCAAATACAAAATGGGAATTGACACAGTTGCTTTTTGCTGATGATACTGTGCTTATGGGAGATTCTAAAGAAAAATCACAAAGGTTAGTGGATGAGTTTGGGAGTATGTGTAAAGGTAGAAAGTTGAAAGTGAACATAGAAAAGAGTAAGGTGATGAGGGTATCAAATGATTTAGAAAAAGAAAAATTGATATCAAATTTGGGAGGAGGAGTATGGAGAAGGTGAATGTTTTCAGACACTTGGGAGTTGACGGTTTTCCGTGCGGAAAGGATTTATGAAGGATGAGGTTTAAAAATATAGAATTGATGAGGGAAAAAAAGGTGAGTTTGGGGCTTTGAGGTATGTTATTTTATTTTTTTTTTTATATCACACCGCCGATTCCACCAAGGCAGGGTGGGCCCGAAAAAGAAAAACTTCACCTCATTCACTCCATCACTGTCTTGCCAGAGGGTGCTTTACACTACAGTTTTTAAACTGCAACATAAACCCCTCTTAGGAGTGCGGCACTGTACTTCCCATCTTTCCAGGACTCAAGGGCCGCTGGGTTTTCCGAAACCTTCATAAATGTTACTTTCTACACTCCAACAGACGTCAAGTATTAAAAAACCATTTGTCCTCCATTCACTCTATCAAACCGCCCAGCATGCTGTGGAAGTCAAGCCCCCCGCACACAAACCTCCTTTACCCCTCCTCCAAAACCCCTTTCCCAGGCCGACCCTACCCGCCTTCCTTCACAAGACTGATACCTCTTGAAGTCATTCTGTTTCGCTTCATTCTTCTACAGTCGAACCACCTAACAAACCTTTTCCCCAGCCCTTGGACAAACATTTTTGGGAAATCCCGCAAATCTCCTAACTTCCAAATAAAGAATTCTCTGCATTATATTCACACCACACATTGCCCTCAGACATGACATCTCCACTGCCTCCAGCCTTCTCCTCGCTGCAACATTCATCACCCACGCTTCACACCCATATAAGAGCGTTGGTAAAACTATACTCTCATACATTCCCCTCTTTGCCTCCAAGGACAAAGTTCTTTGTCTCCACAGACTCCTAAGTGCACCACTCACTCTTTTTCCCTCATCAAATTCTATGATTCACCTCATCTTTCATAGACCCATCCGCTGGACACGTCCACTCCCAAATATCTGAATACGTTCACCTCCTCCATACTCTCTCCCTCCCATCTGATATCAATCTTTCATCACCTAATCTTTTTGTTATCCTCATAACCTTACTCTTTCCTGTATTCACCTTTAATTTTCTTCTTTTGCACACCCTACCAAATTCATCCACCAATCTCTGCAACTTCTCTTCAGAATCTCCCAAGAGCACAGTGTCATCAGCAAAGAGCAGCTGTGACAACTCCCACTTTGTGTGTGATTCTTTATCTTTTAACTCCACGCCTCTTGCCAAGACCCTCGCATTTACTTCTCTTACAACCCCATCTATAAATATATTAAACAACCACGGTGACATCACACATCCTTGTCTAAGGCCTACTTTTACTGGGAAAAAATTCCCCTCTTTCCTACATACTCTAACTTGAGCCTCACTATCCTCGTAAAAACCTTTACTGCTTTCAGTAACCTACCTCCTACACCATACACTTGCAACATCTGCCACATTGCCCCCCATCCACCCTGTCATACGCCTTTTCCAAATCCATAAATGCCACAAAGACCTCTTTAGCCTTATCTAAATACTGTTCACTTATATGTTTTCACTGTAAACACCTGGTCCACACACACCCCCTACCTTTTCCTAAAGCCTCCTTGTTCATCTGCTATCCTATTCTCCGTCTTACCTTAATTCTTCAATTATAACTCTAACCATACACTTTACCAGGTACACTCAACAGACTTATCCCCCTATAATTTTTGCACTCTCTTTTATCCCCTTTGCCTTATACAAAGGAACTATGCATGCTCTCTGCCAATCCCTAGGTACCTTCCCTCTTCCATACATTTATTAAATAATTGCACCAACCACTCCAAAACTATATCCCCACCTGCTTTTAACATTTCTATCTTTATCCCATCAATCCCGGCTGCCTTTCCCCCTTTCATTTAACCTACTGCCTCACGAACTTCCCCCACACTCACAACTGACTCTTCCTCACTCCTACAAGATGTTATTCCTCCTGCCCTATACACGAAATCACAGCTTCCCTATCTTCATCAACATTTAACAATTCCTCAAAACATTCTTCCATCTTCCCAATACCTCTAACTCTCCATTTAATAACTCTCCTCTCCTATTTTTAACTGACAAATCCATTTGTTCTCTAGGCTTTCTTAACTTGTTAATCTCACTCCAAAACTTTTTCTTATTTTCAACAAATTTGTTGATAACATCTCACCCACTCTCTCATTTGCTCTCTTTTTACATTGCTTCACCACTCTCTTAACTTCTCTCTTTTTCTCCATATACTCTTCCCTCCTTGCATCACTTCTACTTTGTAAAAACTTCTCATATGCTAACTTTTTCTCCCTTACTACTCTCTTTACATCATCATTCCACCAATCGCATCCTCTTCCCTCCTGCACCCACTTTCCTGTAACCACAAACTTCTGCTGAACACTCTAACACTACATTTTTAAACATACCCCATACCTCTTCGACCCCATTGCCTATGCTCTCATTAGCCCATCTATCCTCCAATAGCTGTTTATATCTTACCCTAACTGCCTCCTCTTTTAGTTTATAAACCTTTACCTCTCTCTTCCCTGATGCTTCTATTCTCCTTGTATCCCATCTACCTTTTACTCTCAGTGTAGCTACAACTAGAAAGTGATCTGATATATCTATGTATGTGTGGAGACAAAAAACGTTATCTATGGAGGCAAAGAAGGGAATGTATGAAAGTATAGTAGTACCAACACTCTTATATGGGTGTGAAGCTTGGGTTGTAAATGCAGCAGCGAGGAGGCGGATGGAGGCAGTGGAGATGTGCTGTCTAAGGGCAACGTGTGGTGTAAATATTATGCAGAAAATTCGGAGTGTGGAAATTAGGAGAAGGTGTGTAGTTAATAAAAGTATTAGTCAGAGGGCTGAAGAGGGGTTGTTGAGGTGGTTTGGTCATTTAGAGAGAATGGATCAAAGTAGAATGACATGGAGAGCTTTAAATCTGTAGGGGAAGAAAGGCGGGGTAGGGGTCATATTCGAAAAGGTTGGAAGGAAGGGGTAAGGGAGGTTTTGTGGGCGAGGGGCTTGGACTTCCAGCAGGCATGCATGAGCGTGTTCGACATGAGTGAATGGAGACGAATGGTTTTTGGGACCTGACGATCTGTTGGAGTGTGAGCAGGGTAATATTTAGTGGAGGGATTCAGGGAAACTAGTTATTTTTATATAGCCAGACTTGAGCCCTGGAAATGGGAAGTACAATGCCTGCACTCTAAACAAGGGGTTTCGGGATATTAGCAGTTTGGAGGGATATGTTGTGTATCTTTATACGTATATGCTTCTAAACTGTTGTGTCCTGAGCACCTCTGCAAAAACAGTGATTATGTGTGAGTGAGGTGAAAGTGTTGAATGATGATGAAAGTATTTTCTTTTTGGGGATTTTCTTTCTTTTTGGGTCACCCTGCCTTGGTGGGAGACAGATGACTTGTAAAAAAAAAAAAAAAAAAAAAAAACATTAGATACTCAAACAGATCGGCACTCAAACAACCTTCAGGAACAAATAAGGTTTGAGTACCAAGGTTCCACTGTACAGTATTAATATAGCTATTAAAGCCTTACCTTTTATTTATGAATAACTTAAATTCTACACCAAACCAAGAAGCGACTTTCCGGAAAACCTGCAAAAAATTATATATATAAGACTTCAACTTAATTTATAGATACACATAGTAGACATTTGCTGTTTAGAGTATCTGTGTGCCTCTGCAAAGACAGTGATAGTGTGAATGATGGTGAAAGTGTTTCTCTTTATTCTGGGTCACCCTGCCTTCATGGGAGACATCCAGTGTGTTAAAAACAAATTAGAAATGTAGCATATAATGGGGTCTACCTCTAATGCAAATTGTGGGACCCATCAAGACTAAAAAGGCACAATACAGTGACTGGAACAATACACAAATAACCTGCACATAGGACAGAGAAGCTAAAGATCATGTTTTGGTCCACCTCTGGCTATTTACAGTCACACAATGGGACCCATAGCCTCAAAAAAGTGGGTAAAAAGGCTTCAAGAAAAATTTTTGAATTTCTTCCTAAAGCCATTTGAATTTTTCACTTCCCCTACCACCCCACCTTTTTTTTTTTACCAACTGACAAGCTGAGCTTGAAGCAAGTCACGCACTTATGAAATCGTAATAACACGACAGGAAACAACCCACGGAATGGGTGAGATTGAACCCAAGGTGAGTTGTAAAACTCTAGGCCAGTGCATCAACCACAAGGCCTGTGAGTTTTACGGCTTGTTTGCCGTGGGTTGAAACCCCCCCCGTTCCATGGTTGTCTTCTACTTCCTGAAAACAAGCTAAAAAATCATTAATGCATCAACAAAATTAAAGACACTTAAATATTTACTATGCAGCTGGATATTTTCCATTATTTTTTATTTTTATTATCACACCGGCTGATTCCCACCAAGGCAGGGTGGCCCGAAAAAGAAAAACTTTCACCATCATTCACTCCATCACTGTCTTGCCAGAAGGGTGCTTTACACTACAGTTTTTAAACTGCAACATTAACACCCCTCCTTCAGAGTGCAGGCACTGTACTTCCCATCTCCAGAACTCAAGTCCGGCCTGCCGGTTTCCCTGAATCCCTTCATAAATGTTACTTTGCTCACACTCCAACAGCACGTCAAGTATTAAAAACCATTTGTCTCCATTCACTCCTATCAAACACGCTCACGCATGCCTGCTGGAAGTCCAAGCCCCTCGCACACAAAACCTCCTTTACCCCCTCCCTCCAACCCTTCCTAGGCCGACCCCTACCCCGCCTTCCTCCACTACAGACTGATACACTCTTGAAGTCATTCTGTTTCGCTCCATTCTCTCTACATGTCCGAACCACCTCAACAACCCTTCCTCAGCCCTCTGGACAACAGTTTTGGTAATCCCGCACCTCCTCCTAACTTCCAAACTACGAATTCTCTGCATTATATTCACACCACACATTGCCCTCAGACATGACATCTCCACTGCCTCCAGCCTTCTCCTCGCTGCAACATTCATCACCCACGCTTCACACCCATATAAGAGCGTTGGTAAAACTATACTCTCATACATTCCCCTCTTTGCCTCCAAGGACAAAGTTCTTTGTCTCCACAGACTCCTAAGTGCACCACTCACTCTTTTTTCCCTCATCAATTCTATGATTCACCTCATCTTTCATAGACCCATCCGCTGACACGTCCACTCCCAAATATCTGAATACGTTCACCTCCTCCATACTCTCTCCCTCCAATCTGATATTCAATCTTTCATCACCTAATCTTTTTGTTATCCTCATAACCTTACTCTTTCCTGTATTCACCTTTAATTTTCTTCTTTTGCACACCCTACCAAATTCATCCACCAATCTCTGCAACTTCTCTTCAGAATCTCCCAAGAGCACAGTGTCATCAGCAAAGAGCAGCTGTGACAACTCCCACTTTGTGTGTGATTCTTTATCTTTTAACTCCACGCCTCTTGCCAAGACCCTCGCATTTACTTCTCTTACAACCCCATCTATAAATATATTAAACAACCACGGTGACATCACACATCCTTGTCTAAGGCCTACTTTTACTGGGAAAAAATTTCCCTCTTTCCTACATACTCTAACATAGGAACATAAATGTAATACAGAAACTCTTGTATCACAGCCCTGGTCACAGACCAGGCTGCAGGGGCACTGATCCACGAAACCCTCCTGTATCACAGCCCTGGTCACAGACCAGGCTGCAGGGGCACTGATCCACAAAACCCTCCTGTATCACAGCCCTGGTCACAGACCAGGCTGCAGGGGCACTGATCCACGAAACCCTCCTGTATCACAGCCCTGGTCCCCAGACCAGGCTGCAGGGGCACTGATCCACGAAACCCTCCTGTATCGCAGCCCTGGTCACAGACCAGGCTGCAGGGGCACTGATCCACGAAACCCTCCTGTATCGCAGCCCTGGTCACAGACCAGGCTGCAGGGGCACTGATCCACGAAACCCTCCTGTATCACAGCCCTGGTCACAGACCAGGCTGCAGGGGCACTGATCCATGAAACCCTCCTGTATCACAGCCCTGGTCACAGACCAGGCTGCAGGGGCACTGATCCACGAAACCCTCCTGTATCACAGCCCTGGTCACAGACCAGGCTGCAGGGGCACTGATCCACAAAACCCTCCTGTATCACAGCCCTGGTCACAGACCAGGCTGCAGGGGCACTGATCCACGAAACCCTCTAGTTACACTAGGACACAAGTGCAACTAGTGTGACGTTTTATTGTGGCAATGTTTCGCATTGCAGGAGCTTTGTCAAGCCATTATGTAATGGCTAAACAAAGTCATTACTAGTGAAGTAGCTATGAGTTTGGTCAACTGGAATAATGGAACTGACCAAAAACAGGGCTCAAAGTGGGCAAAATCGCCGATGCATAAATACTGCCGAGAGGATAATTCTGTAAATTTTCAATCAAATTTTGTACTTTTGGTTTCATTACCTTCACAAAAAGATTTGCTTTCATTTCATAAGAAAAATTTTTTTTTTTTTGAAAGGTCTGCAACCCTGAGAGCAAGTCTGAAAGCAAGGGTCGCGACCCTCAATTTCTGATTATTGTTATCATTATTATTATGTTCATGGGAAAAGGGCAGTTGGAATGCTAAATGCACCTGGAAATGCCGGCCCTTGAAGAGATAATTATCAACATTAACACCTTTAAAGTATTTTTCAAATATTCATCAAAGAGTTTTTCTCTAATTTTAGTCTTTTAAATAAATAACTACTGTTACTATGTAAATAAAAAAAATACTGTGACTAAATACCATGTAAATAAATGAATACAAGTTCGGAACTTGTCACCTTCATGTTGGGTAATTATCTTAAGTTTCATCTCCAAAGTAATTGCTGCCGCACCGTCGTAAGTTGAACCATCGTCAAGTCGAAATATCGTCAGGCGAATCATCATAAAGATGAAATATCACAAGTCAAGGAGTACCCGTATTACTGAAAATGACTACTGATCTATTACAGTGGTCCCTCATTTTTCGTAATTAATCCATTCCTGGAAGTGTGACTATTATCGAAATTGACGATTTTTGAATCCATTTTCCCTATAAAAAATAATGTAAATCCAATTAATTCGTTCCAGACACCCAGAAGTATCAACAACAATTTTTTTTTTACCTTAAAGATAGATTTACATGCACAAATGAATGAACATTCAACATGACAGTTACCTTTATTGAAGGCTGTTGTTGATGAATGGAAGACAAGGAGAAGGAGAGAGAGAAGAGAGGTTATTGTTTGGAAGGGTAATCCCCCTCCATAAGGACTCTAGGTCTCAAAACTCCAGCCCGTCGCGTTAGCCACTAGACCAGCTAGCCACAATAAGATTCATCCAACTAGGTATATTTCTACACCATAGGAAAGTTAGCACAGGCACCTCTGTGACCAATCGTGTCATTACGATTTCTTAAGTCATGTTGACGGCAGTGAAGGGACTTGAGCTAGAGTTCGTCACGGCCACGCTAGCTGGAGATTCGTCTGTAAAAACTTGCATTTGTGGTCACAGAGGTGCCTGTGCTAACTTTCCTATGGTGTAGAAATATACCTAGTTGGATGAATCTTATTGTGGCTAGCTGGTCTAGTGGCTAACGCGACGGGCTGGAGTTTTGAGACTCTATGACCGCGGGTTCAATCCCGGCCGGGGGTATGGACTCTAGGTCACTTCAGGGGTCACTTACCTAGCTTAAATACAGATTTACATGCAGAAAAAAATGCCAAATAAATGTAGAGCACTAATAAAATGTATAAATGAACATTGGTAATAAGGGTAGTTGATGAGTGGAACGGTCTGCCTAGTAGGGTGATCCAAGCTAAAACATTGGGTAGTTTCAAATTTAGGTTGGATAAATACACAAGTGAGAGGGGTTGGTTTGAATCGGTCTTGCACATGAGTAAATAGGTTTATCAAAGCTTATTGCTTGGGTATAGCAGTTATGCTGTTAGTGGGTTGGATTTGTGAAGGACCGGCCTAGTATAGGCCAACAGGCCTATTGCAGTGTTCCTCCTTTCTTATGTTCTAAAAGCTATGGCTTGGGTAGTTTCAAATTTAGGTTGGATAAATATACAAGCGAGTGGGGTTGGATTTGAGTCGGACTTGCACCTGAGTTTATTGCTTGGGTAGCATTTGTTCTGTTAGTGGGCTGGATTTGTGAAGGACCTGCTAGTATGGGCCAGCAGGCCTGTTGCAGTGTTCCTACTTTCTTAATCTTTCTTTCTTATTTAACATCATACTTACCAGTAGGGTGATCAAGGCTAGGACCTTGGGTAGCTTTAAAAAGAGATTGGACAAATATATGAGTGGGAGGAGCTGAGTTTGATTTGTGTCATTGGGTACGGGAGTAAATTCTTGGGTAGCATTGGGTAGAGGTCATTTTGATAAGGACCTGCCTTGTATGGGCCAGTCGACCTGCAGTGTTCCTCCTTTCTTAGGTTCTTATTGGCTATTTGTTTGTGTGAAGGAAGGATGGCAAGTTTATTGTTGGAGAATATGACACTAATATCAACCCTACGGCTTATTTATCTATCATAATTCAACTAATATGACATAATAAACAATATTAAAAACATAGAAACATTGCATATACTCTAGAATGAATAAAATAAGTCATTATATATGTCACGAGAGGTGCTGTGTTGTGTTGTTGTTGGGTATATAAAGGCCACTGAGAGCAAGCCGTCCATAATGGTGGTGAAGCAGCAGCTGAGGCGGCAGTGTTTTCTGTAGCCCTATATAACTCCAACAACATTGGAGGAGTTAGTAGAATTGCTGAATCACTGAAGAAGACCCTCTACCACCATCACAACCACTACCACCCTCTACCACTATCACTACCACCTTCTACCATTATTACAACTGCTACCACCATCTAATGCTACCATCACTACCACCTTCTACCACTATTACAATGCTACCACCATCACTACCACCTTCTACCACTATTACAACTGCTACCACCGTCTATCATCACTACCACCATCAACCACTATTACAACTGCTTCCACTCTACCACCACCACCTTCGTATTTTTCTACAAACTTTTTCTTAAATTATGTGTGTTTCTCACATTCTTTATCAAAGGACTGGCACTAGAAGCTTTCTTTGGAGCCATGGTGACTTATTTAGCAGTTGCAAACACTAAAACAAATGGAATATTATGAAATATATCGTATGAACTCATGGGATCATCCTCATTCACTGATAAACAATAGCACACTGGCTGGGAATGGAGTGTGAGGTGGCTCGGGGCTGCGTGTACCTGTCCCAGACGAACAACTATTTGCAAGTCAAACAATGATTCACGAGCCAATGTTTTGACGAAAATAACGTTACGATTTTCGAAAATTACAATTATCGAGGGACCACTGTACTAATGTAATACAGTGGTACCCTGGGATACGAACAGCTCAAAACTCGAACAATTATTTAAGTGCATGTACATCAGCGCTTTTTTAAGTGTATTTTTGGGGGTCTGAAACGGATTAATCTAATTTACATTATTCCTTATGGAAACAAATTCGTTTGGTATCGGCACTCGAACAGCCTTCTGGAACAAATTAATTTTGTATCCCGAGGTACCAATGTATTAGTAAAATGACTACTAATCCACTACTAACGCTAATATTACCGAAACACCATCATAATTTTCTCCTATGTACATGGTGTGTACAAGTCCTAAAGTTCGCACGTACAAAACAACTGCCCTCACCTGTATGGTATAGTCCACCTGTGGAGCAAAGTCAGCATTCGTGCCGCCGCGTAGGATGAATCGTGAGGGAGAGTCGGCGAACAGAGCACAAGGTAACACTGACTGCACTAATAAACACACACTCCTGAAATTACAGAAACTGAAATTAAAAAGCTATTGCTGGACTGTTAGCATAATGATACAGCTGCTCTCAGCATACTGACATAGCTGGACTCTCAGCATACTGATATAGTTGGACTCTCAGCATACTAACATAGCAAAAAATGAGACACTTACTGAATATTTGTGAATCTCTAGTGAGGAAACATTTCGCCAGCCAGTGGCTTCTTCAGTCCAATATAGATAATGGTGAAAGAGGAGGAGTTTGAGGTAATCAGTCCCAAAACCTTTCTGTTGTCAAAGCCATTTACATCATACTGACAGAATACTGCTCTCCCAGGATTTTCCAACTTAGTAGAAATTAAAAAATTTTTTTTCAGCGCATTGGCCATTTCCCACCAAGACAAGAAGAAAGACTTTCATCATTACTCACTCCATCACTGTTTTTCTAGAGGTGTGCCAACACTAAGGATCAAAATTTAATAACCTGAAGTTTGACTTTCAGAATACTGACATTATACCGATGTCCCAGAATTTTTCAATACAGTAAAATGAAAGAAATTTTTCAATAATCACTGACAAAAATTAAAGAAATTTTTTTTTTTTTTTTTTTCAACAAGTCGGCCGTCTCCCACCGAGGCAGGGTGACCCAAAAAAGAAAGAAAATCCCCAAAAAGAAAATACTTTCATCATCATTCAACACTTTCACCACACTCGCACATTATCACTGTTTTTGCAGAGGTGCTCAGAATACAACAGTCTAGAAGCATACACATATAAAGATACACAACATATCCCTCCAAACTGCCAATATCCCAAACCCCTCCTTTAAAGTGCAGGCATTGTACTTCCCATTTCCAGGACTCAAGTCCGACTATATGAAAATAACCGGTTTCCCTGAATCCCTTCACTAAATATTACCCTGCTCACACTCCAACAGATCGTCAGGTCCCAAGTACCATTCGTCTCCATTCACTCCTATCTAACACGCTCACGCATGCTTGCTGGAAGTCCAAGCCCCTTACCCACAAAACCTCCTTTACCCCCTCTCTCCAACCCTTTCGAGGACGACCCCTACCCCGCCTTCCTTCCCCTATAGATTTATATGCTTTCCATGTCATTCTACTTTGATCCATTCTCTCTAAATGACCAAACCACCTCAACAACCCCTCTTCTGCCCTCTGACTAATACTTTTATTAACTCCACACCTTCTCCTAATTTCCACACTCCGAATTTTCTGCATAATATTTACACCACACATTGCCCTTAAACAGGACATCTCCACTGCCTCCAACCGTCTCCTCGCTGCTGCATTTACCACCCAAGCTTCACACCCATATAAGAGTGTTGGTACTACTATACTTTCATACATTCCCTTCTTTGCCTCCATAGATAACGTTTTTTGACTCCACATATACCTCAACGCACCACTCACCTTTTTTCCCTCATCAATTCTATGATTAACCTCATCCTTCATAAATCCATCCGCCGACACGTCAACTCCCAAGTATCTGAAAACATTCACTTCTTCCATACTCCTCCTCCCCAATTTGATATCCAATTTTTCTTTATCTAAATCATTTGACACCCTCATCACCTTACTCTTTTCTATGTTCACTTTCAACTTTCTACCTTTACACACATTCCCAAACTCATCCACTAACCTTTGCAATTTTTCTTTAGAATCTCCCATAAGCACAGTATCATCAGCAAAAAGTAACTGTGTCAATTCCCATTTTGAATTTGATTCCCCATAATTTAATCCCACCCCTCTCCCAAACACCCTAGCATTTACTTCCTTAACAACCCCATCTATAAATATATTAAACAACCATGGTGACATTACACATCCCTGTCTAAGACCTACTTTTACCGGGAAATAGTCTCCCTCTCTTCTACACACCCTAACCTGAGCCTCACTATCTTCATAAAAACTCTTTACAGCATTTAATAACTTACCACCTATTCCATATACTTGCAACATCTGCCACATTGCTCCTCTATCCACTCTATCATATGCCTTTTCTAAATCCATAAAGAAATTAAGTACAGAAATTCACTGGAGATTTTAAAAATTGAAAATTCAAAAGTCGTGAAGTACTTCCCATAAGTGAAAAAGTGATAATTCTTCACTTAATGTGCATAATTTAACAAACTTTATACAGGTCGGTCATCACTAATCCGGCATCATAGGGACCTGTAGTGTGCCAGATTAGTGAGTTTGCTGGATTACAGTGTGGTTAGGTTAGAATACAGTGGACCCCCGGTTAACGATATTTTTTCACTCCAGAAGTATGTTCAGGTGCCAGTACTGACCGAATTTGTTCCCATAAGGAATATTGTGAAGTAGATTAGTCCATTTCAGACCCCCAAACATACACGTACAAACGCACTTACATAAATACACTTACATAATTGGTCGCATTCGGAGGTGATCGTTATGCGGGGGTCCACTGTACACTTAATTAACCTATCAATACTATTTCTGTTATATCTTCCTCGTTTTCATCACTGCTTTCTCCTTCAATACTATTTCTGTTATATCTTCCTCGTTTTCATCACTGCTTTCTCCTTCAATACTATTTCTGTTATATCTTCCTCGTTTTCATCACTGCTTTCTCCTTCAATACTATTTCTGTTATATCTTCCCCGTTTTCATCACTGCTTTCTCCTTCAATACTATTTCTGTTATATCTTCCCCGTTTTCATCACTGCTTTCTCCTTCAATACTATTTCTGTTATATCTTCCCCGTTTTCATCACTGCTTTCTCCTTCAATACTATTCTGTTATATCTTCCCCGTTTTCATCACTGCTTTCTCCTTCAATACTATTTCTGTTATATCTTCCCCGTTTTCATCACTGCTTCCTCCTCCACTGACTTGCTGCTGTGGATTTACTACCATCTGCACAATTTCTTAGTATAGCAATCTGAGTCAGTATAATTATGAAATTTGAAATTATGCTAGCTGAAATTAGTGCCGGATTATTGATGGAACCGGATAACTGACTGCTGGATTAGTGATGGCCGGCCTGTAATAAGTATGAATGTAAATGAAAATGACTTATACACAGACTCTCCTCACTGAACAATGAAGCTGTGTCCCTAAGACCACGTCGGTAAACAAACTCGTGACTAAGTAAGGATCATTATAATGGTAGTGGGTTTAAGAGTAAGAATAGGAACTTCATTTTAACATGATACGTAGTTTTTTTTTTTTTATTATCACACCGGCCGATTCCCACCAAGGCAGGGTGGCCCGAAAAAGAAAAACTTTCACCATCATTCACTCCATCACTGTCTTGCCAGAAGGGTGCTTTACACTACAGTTTTTAAACTGCAACATTAACACCCCTCCTTCAGAGTGCAGGCACTGTACTTCCCATCTCCAGGACTCAAGTCCGGCCTGCCGGTTTCCCTGAATCCCTTCATAAATGTTACTTTGCTCACACTCCAACAGCACGTCAAGTATTAAAAACCATTTGTCTCCATTCACTCCTATCAAACACGCTCACGCATGCCTGCTGGAAGTCCAAGCCCCTCGCACACAAAACCTCCTTTACCCCCTCCCTCCAACCCTTCCTAGGCCGACCCCTAACCCGCCTTCCTTCCACTACAGACTGATACACTCTTGAAGTCATTCTGTTTCGCTCCATTCTCTCTACATGTCCGAACCACCTCAACAACCCTTCCTCAGCCCTCTGGACAACAGTTTTTTGGGAATCCCGCACCTCCTCCTAACTTCCAAACTACGAATTCTCTGCATTATATTCACACCACACATTGCCCCTCAGACATGACATCTCCACTGCCTCCAGCCTTCTCCTCGCTGCAACATTCATCACCCACGCTTCACACCCATATAAAAAGCGTTGGTAAAACTATACTCTCATACATTCCCCTCTTTGCCTCCAAGGACAAAGTTCTTTGTCTCCACAGACTCCTAAGTGCACCACTCACTCTTTTTCCCTCATCAATTCTATGATTCACCTCATCTTTCATAGACCCATCCGCTGACACGTCCACTCCCAAATATCTGAATACGTTCACCTCCTCCATACTCTCTCCCTCCAATCTGATATTCAATCTTTCATCACCTAATCTTTTTGTTATCCTCATAACCTTACTCTTTCCTGTATTCACCTTTAATTTTCTTCTTTTGCACACCCTACCAAATTCATCCACCAATCTCTGCAACTTCTCTTCAGAATCTCCCAAGAGCACAGTGTCATCGGCCAAAGAGCAGCTGTGACAACTCCCACTTTTGTGTGATTCTTTATCTTTTAACTCCACGCCTCTTGCCAAGACCCTCGCATTTACTTCTCTTACAACCCCATCTATAAATATATTAAACAACCACGGTGACATCACACATCCTTGTCTAAGGCCTACTTTTACTGGGAAAAAATTTCCCTCTTTCCTACATACTCTAACTTGAGCCTCACTATCCTCGTAAAAACTCTTCACTGCTTTCAGTAACCTACCTCCTACACCATACACTTGCAACATCTGCCACATTGCCCCCCTATCCACCCTGTCATACGCCTTTTCCAAATCCATAAATGCCACAAAGACCTCTTTAGCCTTATCTAAATACTGTTCACTTATATGTTTCACTGTAAACACCTGGTCCACACACCCCCTACCTTTCCTAAAGCCTCCTTGTTCATCTGCTATCCTATTCTCCGTCTTACTCTTAATTCTTTCAATTATAACTCTACCATACACTTTACCAGGTACACTCAACAGACTTATCCCCCTATAATTTTTGCACTCTCTTTTATCCCCTTTGCCTTTATACAAAGGAACTATGCATGCTCTCTGCCAATCCCTAGGTACCTTACCCTCTTCCATACATTTATTAAATAATTGCACCAACCACTCCAAAACTATATCCCCACCTGCTTTTAACATAGTTGGGTATACATGCCAAAAGCCCTTTTGTGTGCCGGGCATTTTGGGCAAACTTAATACAGTGGACCCCCGCATAACGATTACCTCCGAATGTGACCAATTATGTAAGTATATTTATGTAAGTGCGTTTGTATGTGTATGTTTGGGGTCTGAAATGGACTAATCTACTTCACAATATTCCTTATGGGAACAAATTCGGTCAGTACTGGCACCTGAACATACTTCTGGAGTGAAAAAATATCGTTAACCGGGGGTCCACTGTATTAGCTTAGATTAATAAGTCAATAACAGATAATTATATGGACATTGATGAGTTACAGTGAGTACAGTAATTAGTTTTAAAGTCAGTTTATAAAAATTACATTATTACAAACAATGGTACACCATCTTTGATATTGTTTTAATGTCACCTTTGAACCATTTATAACATTTCTGGTATATTTTTAAATGTTTATACAGTAGTGTACAGTGGACCCTCGGATATTGGCTGTTCCTGTTATTGGCCAGCTCAGTCATCAGCAGGTTTTTTGGTGCCCGGTGATTGGCCATTATTTCAGTGATAGGCGGTTTTGGACGTGTTCGTCCGCCAGCGGGGGCCGCCTGCACGTCAGTCTAGCTTAGTCTCATGGTATATGAGGAACTTTCTGCTCATACATCCAAACAATTTTGCTTGTCTTCCATTTTGTTTTTCTTGCAGTGCAACTGTGAAATAAGTAACCATGGCTCCAAAGAAAGTTCCTAGTAAAGTTCCTGTGGTAAAGAAAGTGAGAAACACCATGGAATTTAAGCATGAAGTGATAGAAAAGTTTGAGAGTGGTATGAAGGTGATGGAACTTGCCAGGATGTACAGCAAGAATAAATCAACAATTACATCCATCCTGGCAAAGAAAGAACAAATCAAGGATGCTAATGTTGCGAAAGGAGTAATTTTTATGAAGAAACAAAGATCACCGATAACAGAAGAGATGGGAAAGTTGTTGTTATTGTGGATTAAGGAAAAAGAATTAGTGGGAGACAGTATATTATGGAGTCAATTATTTGTGAGAAGGCAAACCAGGTACACGAGGATCTTCTACAGAAAACTCCTGGAACAAGTACTGCAGTTTGTGAATTTAGGGCCAGCAAAGGATGGTTTGATAGATTTAAGAAGCGTAGTGGCATACACAGTGTTGTAAGGCATGGAGAGGCTGCAAGTTCTGACAAAAAAGTGGCTGAAAAGTACATACAGGAGTTCCAGGACTATGTAAAGGCTGAATAATTAAAACCCCAACAAGTGTTCAATTGTGACGAAACAGGCCTGTTTTAGAAGAAAATGCCAAACATCACACAGGAGGAAAAGGCACTGCCAGGACACAAGCCTATGAAAGATAGGCTTACTCTTTTGTTGTGTGGTAATGCAAGTGGGAATTTTAAAGTGAAGCCTTTACTTGTGTATCATTCAGAAAATCCCAGAGTGTTCAAGAAAAACAACGTCGTTAAGAATAGATTGTGTGTGATGTGGAAAGCTAATCGTAAGTCATGGGTCACAAGGCAAATTTTCAAAGACTGGGTTTACGATGTGTTTGGCCCAAGTGTGAAAAAATACCTCCTGGAAAAGAAATTGCCACTCAAGTGCCTCCTGGTACTGGACAATGCTCCTACACATCCTCCAGACTTGGAAGACCGAGTGTTCAGGGACTTCAGTTTTATAACAGTGAAGTTCTTGCCTCCTAACACCACTCCTCTTCTCCAGCCCATAGACCAGCAGGTCATTTCTAACTCAAAAAACTCTACACAAAAGCAGTGTGTGAAAAGTGCTTTGAAGTGACCTCGGACACTCAGTTGGCCCTAAGACAGTTCTGGAAAGATCACTTCACTATCCTCAATTGCATAAGCCTTATTGGTAAGGCTTGGGAGGGAGTGACTTCAAGGACTTTGAACTCTGCCTGGAGAAAACTGGGGCCAGGTTGTGTCCATGAGAGGGATTTTGAAGGGTTTGAGGCTGACCCTGACCCTGACCCTGACCCTGACCCTCTGCCTGTTGTTGACTCTATTGTGGCACTGGGGAAATCCGTAGAGTTGGAGGCGAGAGGTGAAGATGTGGAAGAGTTGGTGGAGGACCACAGGGAAGAGCTTACCACTGAAGAGCTGCAAGAGCTTCAACTTGAGCAGCAACAGACTGCAGCTGAGGAACTTGCTTCAGAGAAGGAGGCAGAGGGAGGGAAGGAGGTGCCTTCTTCAGAGATTAAACAGATGTGTGCAATGTGGAGTAGGGTGCAAGCTTTTGTAGAGAAACACCAAGCTGAAACAAGCCATATCTGCAACATGTTCTGTGACAAAACCCTGTCCCACTTCAGGGAAATCTTAAAGAGACAACAGAAACAGTGCACTTGAGTTAGTTTGTGAGGCAGGGGTCTAGTGACTCTCAAACTGGTCCTAGTGGCCTTAAAAGACAATGAAGGGAAGTAACCCCAGAGAAGGCTTTGGTACCTGAATTATTATTATTATAATCAAGGGGAAGCGCTAAACCCGGAGGATTATACAGCGCCTGGGGGGGGATGTGGAAGGCATTCAGGCTTAATTTGGGGAACTGGAGCACAGATCCAATTTCCTAAATCAAGAGCCCCTCACCAACATCAAGGAACCTTCCTTGAGGGGTTAGGTACCTGAAGTCTTTATGGAGGGAGATTTCACTTCCAAACACTAACTCCTTCCTCTTTCCTCTTCCCTATCTTCCAGAAACCAACATTAGCCTTCAATAAAGGTATGTAATACTTATGTAACTGTTAAAAAAAATATTTTTTGTGAATATTTTTGTCTGGAACTTATTAATTGTATTTCCATTAATTCTTATGTGAAATATTAATTCGGTTCTCGGCCATTTCGGTCTTAGGCCAAGCTTCTGGAACGGATTACGGCCGATAACCGAGGGTCCACTGTAGTGTATATTGTAATAAACAGAATACGTACAGGAAATCAGCTCTAGTATACATTATTTAGGTTTGCACACTGGTCAGAGAGCCGGTCGTAAGTCTGAGTCGTAAGTAAACGAATACGTCGCTAAGTGAGGAGAGGCTGTATAGGGTTTGCTACTTTCCCCGGTTTTGGGTATTCAAGGGAGGTTTTGGAATCCATCCCCCGTGGATACGGGGGATCTACTGTTGGACCCCATATCCGAGGGGGATACTTTGCAAAGACCTTCCACAGATGCCAAACCTTGGAAAGTAGCAAACTCTATATATAATTCATTTTTCATTTACATTAATAGCTATTACAAAGTTTATTTAATAAATTACACACAATAAGTGGAGAATTTTCACATCTCCACTGATGGGAAGCACTTCAAGGCTTCTCTTAGACTTTGAACACTGTCACCATCACTAATTTTGTACTTTGAGGTCGTTATTAAGCAAAATTATGCATTATTTTTGGGTCACGGTAAACAGCGGATAATTGAAACCGTGGATACCAGATCCACAAATATGGGGTCTTACTGTACAAATAACCTTAATATAGAGTTCGAATCCATAGAGCAGGGAGAAAGGGGACCCAGTAGCGGTCAGTGAAGAGGCGGGGCCAGGAGGTGAGTCTCAACCCCTGCAACCACAATTAGGCGAGTACTGGCCCGGAGTTTAACAACTAGCTGGCCATGGGTTCGAACTCCACTCGTTCCGGGGTACACAATCAACCACTCACCCGGCTGTCTGGGTGTCAGCCATGTATCTGCCGCCACAAATCCGTCCAGGATAGAAGGTCACTTCACACGATCCAATTTGTCCACCGTCCAGTTGACCGTTGCAAGCATCTCGCACCACCTGCAGCCCTGACGACAATTATCAAACATTTACATGTCAATTTGGAGCTGCATTCTTCCTCGGAACTTGAATTGAGGATGTAATGGTGATAAGTTGAGGATTTATGTGTCAAACATTGAGGATTTATGGGACAAACACTGAGGATTTACTGGACATATATTGAGGATGTAAAGGTGATATAATGGGGACTAACTGATCTTATATTTAGGATTTACCGAACTTATTTATATTTTGACACAGATACTTTTTGCTGATGATACTGTGCTTATGGGAGATTCTAAAGAAAAATTGCAAAGGTTAGTGGATGAGTTTGAGAATGTGTGTAAAGGTAGAAAGTTGAAAGTGAACATAGAAAAGAGTAAGGTGATGAGGGTATCAAATGATTTAGATAAAGAAAAATTGGATATCAAATTGGGGAGGAGGAGTATGGAAGAAGTGAATGTTTTCAGATACTTGGGAGTTGACGTGTCGGCGGATGGATTTATGAAGGATGAGGTTAATCATAGAATTGATGAGGGAAAAAAGGTGAGTGGTGCGTTGAGGTATATGTGGAGTCAAAAAACGTTATCTATGGAGGCAAAGAAGGGAATGTATGAAAGTATAGTAGTACCAACACTCTTATATGGATGTGAAGCTTGGGTGGTAAATGCAGCAGCGAGGAGACGGTTGGAGGCAGTGGAGATGTCCTGTCTAAGGGCAATGTGTGGTGTAAATATTATGCAGAAAATTCGGAGTGTGGAAATTAGGAGAAGGTGTGGAGTTAATAAAAGCATTAGTCAGAGGGCAGAAGAGGGGTTGTTGAGGTGGTTTGGTCATTTAGAGAGAATGGATCAAAGTAGAATGACATGGAAAGCATATAAATCTATAGGGGAAGGAAAGAGGGGTAGGGGTCGTCCTCGAAAGGGTTGGAAAGAGGGGGTAAAGGAGGTTTTGTGGGTGAGGGGCTTGGACTTCCAGCAAGCGTGCATGAGCGTGTTAGATAGGAGTGAATGGAGACGAATGATACTTGGGACCTGACGATCTGTTGGAGTGTGAGCAGGGTAATATTTAGTGAAGGGATTCAGGGAAACCGGTTATTTTCATATAGTCGGACTTGAGTCCTGGAAATGGGAAGTACAATGCCTGCACTTTAAAGGAGGGGTTTGGGATATTGGCAGTTTGGAGGGATATGTTGTGTATCTCTATACGTATATGCTTCTAAACTGTTGTATTCTGAGCACCTCTGCAAAAGTAGTGATAATGTGTGAGTGTGGTGAAAGTGTTGAATGATGATGAAAGTATTTTCTTTTTGGGGATTTTCTTTCTTTTTTTTTTTGGGTCACCCTGCCTTGGTGGGAGACGACCGACTTGTTGAGAAAAAAAAAAAAAAAAAAAAAAAAAAATATTTAGGATTTACCGAACTTATATTTAGGATTTACCAAACTTATACACATACCATCCGACTTACGGCCGAGATTGGTTCCGACCAACCGGTCATAAGTCAAAATGGACGTAAGTCGAACTTTACTAATGAATATCAACATCGCATTTTTGTAATGACTTTATTTTATTGTTTTATTTTGGTATTTCATGTATTACTTTACTTTTTATGTTGTTAGTATTGTATTTTATACTGTAAGGTTTAGGATAAACACTGTGTACAACACAAACGGTCGTAAGTCGAGTGGTCGTATGTCGAGCAGGTCGTAAGTTGGATGGTAGGTGTTTTTAGGATTTAATGAACATATATTGAGGATTTACCTAACATAATTAGGATTTAATGAACTTACACCCAGGATTTACGGCAATAAAAAGACGAACTTTACCGGTCAAGTGCTGGGGTCGCAACCCTGGGGTCTTCCTCCCAGCTCGAACTTTATTAACAGTAATAGGGATGTCTTTGACAGCGCTGAGAGCTAAACCCATGCGGAGTATCTGGCCGCCCTGCAAGTGCAAAGTTCAATTACTCGGGAGGAATTGAACGATTATATTAGCAAGTTTATTTGCGTATGAGTAGACGTATGTCGTACATAGTTTATTTGGGTACGGGTCGACGTATACATGTCGTACATAATGTATATTATGTAGTAGTAGTATTGTAGTTGTAGGAATAATAATAATAATAATAATAATAATAATAATAATAATAATAATAATAGAAATAATGGTAGTAATAATAATAATAGTAATAATAATAATAATAAGAGCAATAATAATAATAATAATAGCAATAATAATAATAATAATAATAATAGAAATAATGGTAGTAATAATAATCATAGTAATAATAATAATAATAATAGTAATAATAATAATAATAGCAATAATAATAATAATAATAATAATTGTAATAGCTATAATAATAGTATTAATAATAATTCAGTTCTTTACAGGAAACAACAAAAGTTTTATAAGAAAATAAATCCTGGAAATGATTTACGTAAATATAAAAATAAAATGCAAAAAAATAATAATTAACAATTTTTCTTATATATAAGACAATGACAACATCTACACATGAATGAATAATGAAGCACACATGTATATGTATGTATATACACATGTATACAAAGAAAATCCAATTGAGACGCCCCCCCAAAAAATTTTTGAGAATGCCTACGTCATAGGCCAGGCAGCCAAGACGCCTCAAAAAACATCAATTTTAAGGCAAATTACACAGCCTCATCAATCACTTACACCTTCTAAATAACTGCCATCAATCACTACAGGTGTGGCAGCCGCCATAGTGGAGAAAATTGCACGAAATATGAGGAAAAACGAGGAAATAAGAGGGTTGTGGCAGGCGGCTCCGCAACTCCTGGACACCAGCAACAACCTGCCTAAAATATTTTCTGGCCATTATTATTATTTTCTATTTTTTATAATGATTTTATGGTGGAAGTTATGTAGAATTTAGTGACTGATAGCCCAGTATAGGCTATATATCTTTTTAGTTAGGTATTTGAGAGTTATTGAGAGATATAGATGGGTTGTTCTTGCGGGTTTTAAAGAGGTAAATATTGTTTAATATAGATTAATGGTAGTTTTTAGGCCTATGTAATGAGAATAGATATTGTATTTTAATTTTCTAGCACTGTACTTCCCACCTCCAGAACTGTAACATCCTCACTCATCCTTCAGAGTACAGGTACTGTACTTCCCACCTCCAGAACTGTAACATCCTCACTCATCCTTCAGAGTACAGGTACTGTACTTCCCACATCCAGAACTGTAACATCCTCACTCATCCTTCAGAGTACAGGTACTGTACTTCCCACCTCCAGAACTGTAACATCCTCACTCATCCTTCAGAGTACAGGTACTGTACTTCCCACCTCCAGAACTGTAACATCCTCACTCATCCTTCAGAGTACAGGTACTGTACTTCCCACCTCCAGAACTGTAACATCCTCACTCATCCTTCAGAGTACAGGTACTGTACTTCCCACCTCCAGAACTGTAACATCCTCACTCATCCTTCAGAGTACAGGCACTGTACTTCCCACCTCCAGAACTGTAACATCCTCACTCATCCTTCAGAGTACAGGTACTGTACTTCCCACCTCCAGAACTGTAACATCCTCACTCATCCTTCAGAGTACAGGTACTGTACTTCCCACCTCCAGAACTGTAACATCCTCACTCTTCCTTCAGAGTACAGGTACTGTACTTCCCACCTCCAGAACTGTAACATCCTCACTCATCCTTCAGAGTACAGGCACTGTACTTCCCACCTCCAGAACTGTAACATCCTCACTCATCCTTCAGAGTACAGGTACTGTACTTCCCACCTCCAGAACTGTAACATCCTCACTCATCCTTCAGAGTACAGGTACTGTACTTCCCACCTCCAGAACTGTAACATCCTCACTCATCCTTCAGAGTACAGGTACTGTACTTCCCACCTCCAGAACTGTAACATCCTCACCATCCTTCAGAGTACAGGCACTGTACTTCCCACCTCCAGAACTGTAACATCCTCACTCATCCTTCAGAGTACAGGTACTGTACTTCCCACCTCCAGAACTGTAACATCCTCACTCATCCTTCAGAGTACAGGCACTGTACTTCCCACCTCAAGGACTGTAACATCCTCACTCATCCTTCAGAGTACAGGCACTGTACTTCCCACCTCCAGAACTGTAACATCCTCACTCATCCTTCAGAGTACAGGCACTGTACTTCCCACCTCCAGAACTGTAACATCCTCACTCATCCTTCAGAGTACAGGTACTGTACTTCCCACCACCAGAACTGTAACATCCTCACTCATCCTTCAGAGTACAGTTACTGTACTTCCAACCTCCAGAACTGTAACATCCTCACTCATCCTTCAGAGTACAGGCACTGTACTTCCCAACTCCAGAACTGTAACATCCTCACTCATCCTTCAGAGTACAGGTACTGTACTCTCTTCAGGTCACTTGTTCTATCTAGGCTGGAATATTGCTGCACTCTAACAGCACCTTTCAAGGCAGGTGAAATTGCCGACCTAGAAAATGTACAGAGAACTTTCACGGCGCGCATAACGGAGATAAAACACCTCAATTACTGGGAGCGCTTGAGGTTTCTAAACCTGTATTCCCTGGAACGCAGGAGGGAGAGATACATGATTATATACACCTGGAAAATCCTAGAGGGACTAGTACCGAACTTGCACACGAAAATCACTCACTACGAAAGCAAAAGACTTGGCAGACGATGCACCATCCCCCCAATGAAAAGCAGGGGTATCACTAGCACGTTAAGAGACCATACAATAAGTGTCAGGGGCCCGAGACTGTTCAACTGCCTCCCAGCACACATAAGGGGGATTACCAACAGACCCCTGGCAGTCTTCAAGCTGGCACTGGACAAGCACCTAAAGTCAGTTCCTGATCAGCCGGGCTGTGGCTCGTACGTTGGTTTGCGTGCAGCCAGCAGCAACAGCCTGGTTGATCAGGCGCTGATCCACCAGGAGGCCTGGTCACAGACCGGGCCGCGGGGGCATTGACCCCCGAAACTCTCTCCAGGTAAACTCCAGGTAAACTGTACTTCCCACCTCCAGAACTGTAACATCCTCACTCATCCTTCAGAGTACAGGTACTGTACTTCCCACCTCCAGAACTGCAACATCCTCACTCATCCTTCAGAGTACAGGTTCTGCACTTCCCACGTCCAGAACTGTAATATCCTCACTCATCCTCCAGAGTACAGGTTCTGTACTTCCCACCTACAGGACTGTAACATCCTCACTCATCCTTCAGAGTACAGGTACTGTACTTCCCACCACCAGAACTGTAACATCCTCAGTCATCCTTCAGAGTATAGGTACTGTTCTTCCCACCTCCAGAACTGCAACATCCTCACTCATCCTTCAGAGTGCAGGTTCTGAGCTTCCCACCTCCAGAACTGTAACCTCACTCATCCTCCAGAGTACAGGTTCTGTACTTCCCACCTACAGGACTGTAACATCCTCACTCATCCTTCAGAGTACAGGTACTGTACTTCCCACCTCCAGAACTGTAACATCCTCACTCATCCTTCAGAGTACAGGTACTGTACTTCCCACATCCAGAACTGTAACATCCTCACTCATCCTTCAGAGTACAGGCACTGTACTTCCCACCTCTAGGACTGTAACATCTTTACTCATCCTTCAGAGTACAGGTACTATACTTCTCACCTCCAGGACTAACATCCTCACTCATCCTTCAGAGTACAGGTACTGTACTTCCCACCTCCAGAACTGTAACATCCTCACTCATCCTTCAGAGTACTGGCACTGTACTTCCCACCTCCAGAACTGTAACATCCTCACTCATCCTTCAGAGTACAGGTACTGTACTTCCCACCTATGGAAAATTTTCTAGGGTGCTTACCTGTATGTACCTCAACATTATATACATACCAGTAATCTCATTGGGAGACAACCATATTGTTTACCGTAGTCACCCCGTGTAGACATGTGAGAAAACTTAACCACCCCTGGTCGCGGCAAGTGGTTCCTTCGACCTCACAATCTTATCCATATCTATCCGAGACCAGTATGGATTGGATAGCACCCACAAGTACGGTGCTACTAATTAATTGTGGGCTGTATAGATTATATTAGTGTAACTGAATGAAGGGGGGGGGGGTAGGTTACACATGGATATATCCATCAAGGAAAACCACTTGTACATAATCTCTCCACTTACCAGATATTCTCTGGTGGTCACTTGATGTATCTGGATCACTCATAACCTATCCAATTACAACATACCTAACTGGCCAGTATCAGTCTGCTATAACTAGAAGGGTTACTTAACTGTGGGTGATTGATACTCCTTATTTCCTCCATTCACCATCTCATTTCGATGTTCTGCTACACCGACACGGTTCTCATTCCAGCAGGACGAGGTATCCGTCGGTTTGTCCCGGTTTAGAAGTCGTGTTTCCATAAAGCTTCATTATCCTCGGTACGAATCACACATTCACTCGGAACAGGGCGATCTATTTCACATCCCGCATTCTCTTAACTCAATGTTATTATCACTGATTACATTACCATTCACAAGACGATTTAACCTCTCATAATTATTATACACATTAGAGGTCACTCCATTAAGATCTGAGGCCGATGAGCGAAGATTAACACACGGGTATTTCCCCTGGACACACACCATGGCCGTGCACCCATCAGTTACACAACCCAGGGCAACATGGGTTTAGAACAGGTCGCTCCTGTCTGTCTCAACTATTGGACCACTACGACAAGGTCCTAAATGCACTAGAAGACAAAAAGAATGCAGATGTAATATATACAGACTTTGCAAAAGCCTTCGACAAGTGTGACCATGGCGTAATAGCGCACAAAATGCGTGCTAAAGGAATAACAGGAAAAGTCGGTCGATGGATCTATAATTTCCTCACTAACAGAACACAGAGAGTAGTCGTCAACAGAGTAAAGTCCGAGGCAGCTACGGTGAAAAGCTCTGTTCCACAAGGGACAGTACTCGCTCCCATCTTGTTTCCTCATCCTTATATCCGACATAGACAAGGATGTCAGCCACAGCACCGTGTCTTCCTTTGCAGATGACACCCGAATCTGCATGACAGTGTCTTCCATTGCAGACACTGCAAAGCTCCAGGCAGACATCAACCAAATCTTTCAGTGGGCTGCAGAAAACAATATGAAGTTCAACGATGAGAAATTTCAATTACTCAGATATGGTAAACATGAGGAAATTAAATCTTCATCAGAGTACAAAACAAATTCTGGCCCACAAAATAAAAGCGAAACCCCAAACGTCAAAGACCTGGGAGTGATCATGTCAGGGGAAATCTCACCTTCAAGGACCATAACATTGTATCAAATCGCATCTGCTAGAAAAATGACAGGATGGATAATGAAAAACCTTCAAAACTAGGGAGGCCAAGCCCATGATGACACTCTTCAGGTCACTTGTTCTATCTAGGCTGGAATATTGCTGCACACTAAACAGCACCTTTCAAGGCAGGTGAAATTGCCGACCTAGAAAATTACAGAGAACTTTCACGGCGCGCATAACGGAGATAAAACACCTCAATTATTGGAGCGCTTGAGGTTCCTAAACCTGTATTCCCTGGAACGCAGGAGGGAGAGATACATGATTATTACACCGGAAAATCCTAGAGGGGACTAGAAACCGAACTTCCCACAACGAAAATCACCCACTACAAAAGCAAAAGACTTGGCAGACGATGCACCATCCCCCCAATGAAAAGCAGGGGTGTAAACTAGCACGTTAAGAGACCATACAATAAGTGTCAGGGGCCCGAGACTGTTCAACTGCCTCCCAGCACACATAAGGGGGATTACCAACAGACCCCTGGCAGTCTTCAA